GCATGGCTGGCATCTCTTTACGAACGTTGCACAGTCGGTGTTCATGGTCGGCCAATAGTACCCGGCACGTAGAAGTTTAGAGACGGTCGTCCTTGCCCCCGAATGCAGTCCGCATATACCCTCATGTACTTCTCGCGTCACATAGTCAGCCTCGGCGAGATTTAGGCACTTGAGTAGTGGGGTAGAGAAACCGCGTTTGTACAGCTGGCCGGCGATGACAACGTATCTACTGGCTTGGGTTCTTAATCGCTTGGCCTCGGTCGGTTCGGTGGGTGCGATTCCGCTGGTGAGGTATGCCTTCAGTTCATCCCGCCAATCAGGGGGATCGTCACGATCGGCTAGCTCAGCGTCAACATTTGCTAACATCTCGGCTTCAATGCTGGGGTGGTCGATCTCTTGTTGAATGATCGTTCTCAAGTGGTCCGGCTTCTTGGTTGCGGCCAACCTAGCCAACTAGTCGGCCCGGGTATTGTCTTCCCGGGGGATGTGTTCGACCAACACCTCCTGGAAATTCGCCTTCAATTTTTGATAGGCATGATAGTATCTCATCATGTTGTGGTCCTTTACTTGGAAATTTCCGCCCACCTGCTCGGCCACTACCTTGGAATCGGTGCGACACTTGATTCTTGATGCACCCATGTCCTCAGCCAACCTCAATCCGGCCAATAGAGCTTCGTACTCGGCTTGGTTATTTGAAGCTTTGAACCGGAAGCGCAAAGATTGCTCTAAAGTTATCCCTCTCGGTCCTTCTAAGATTACCCTTGCCCCGCTCCCTTGGTTGTTTGAGGATCCGTCTACATGGAGGGTCCACCACTGTTGTTCAAATTGGTCGTGAGGGTGAAGTTCGTTTATGAAGTCGGCCAAGCATAAGGCCTTGATCGGTCCCCTCGGCTTAAAGGTAATATCAAATTGCGAGAGTTCCATTGACCAGGCCATCATCCTTCCGACGAGTTCGGGTTTGCTTAGTACCTTAGCGATTGGACAGTCGGTATGCACGATAACTCGGTGGCTTTGGAAGTAATGACGTAGGCGTCGGGAAGCATGTACTAAACTGGGTGCCACCTTTTCTATCAATTGGTATCGGGTTTCAGAATCCTGTAGTTGTCGACTGATAAAATATATAGGAGCCTGGGTGCCTTCCTTTTCTTGCACCAGAACCGAGCTTAGATCTCGACCCACGCCTGGGTGAGGAGGATCGAATCGAGCCAGCCGAAGACCTCGTTCCTTTCCAACTCGGGCAAACACTCGAACAGGTCACACACATAGGATCTCGGCTGAACGAAAACGATTCGAACCAGGTGAAGCAAGCGGTTCAAGACAACAGAGACTTGTTTGCATGGAAAGCGTCGGATATGCCGGGGATAGACCCTAGATTCCTATGTCACCGACTAGCAGTATGTAGAGACGCTCGGCCAGTCGCACAGAAGAAAAGAAAAATGGGCGACGAAAAGAGAAAGGCAGCCGATGCCGAGGTGAAAAAATTGTTGCAAGCAAAGTTCATCAGAGAGGTCACTTACACGACTTGGCTAGCCAACGTAGTGTTAGTCAAAAAAGCCAATGGGAAATGGAGAATGTGCACCGACTATACCGACCTCAATAAGGCCTGCCCCAAGGATGCCTACCCACTCCCTTGTATCGACCGACTAGTCGACGGAGCGTCCGGACATTCAATCTTCAGCTTCTTGGATGCTTATTCCGGTTACAACCAAATAAGGATGCACTCGGCCGACGAGGAGAAGACGGCGTTCATAACCGAGAGCGCCAACTTTTGTTATAAAGTGATGCCGTTTGGGTTGAAGAACGGAGTAGCTATGCAACATCAACTATAATGGGATCCTTGACTCTTCACCATCTTGAATCCCAAAAAAAATTAGCTGAAGTTTAGTGGAAAACACACAGAAGGGGGGTTGAATGTGTGTGATCGAAGTATTTTAAAAACGTTTTCGCAAAGGGGCTTCTTTCCGTCTGAAGATCATATTTCAAGCACTTAGAGAATGTGCAAGTTTGGTTAGAAGAAACTTTGCGTTTGAAGATCTATTGTCTTCTTGAAAAAATAGTTTCTTAAGTCAAACAAATATAATCTCGTCTAAATATTGTTTAGAAAATAAGTAGTAGTAGACGAAGTTTTTCAGTGTAATATGTCAATATAAGTAAAACTGTGTTTGTAAATCAAATAACAATGCACAGAGTTTTATACTGGTTCACTCATTTTGAGCTACGTCTAGTCTCCTTCAACTGAAAGGTTCCACTAATCACAACGGATTACAAGTATTCTTAACCACTTCTGGTTCGTCAACTTCACTTGCTGACACTAGTATTCTTAAACCACTTCTGGTTGCCCGAGTATTCTCAACCACTTCTGGTTCGTCAACTTCACTCGCTGACGCTAGTATTCTTAAACCACTTCTGGTTGCCCGAGTATTCTCAACCATTCCTGGTTCGTCAACTTCACTTGCTGACGCTAGTATTCTGAAACCACTTATGATTTTCCAAGTATTCTTTTACTAGCCTCTTCAGGCTTTACAGACGATAGATGTTTTGAGTGTGTATGTAACTCTCATAGAGAGGATAGTATAGTTTCTACACTCACTAAGGTATTCAACCTTAGTCTTATAAGGATATGTGTTTAGAGTGTGTATGTAACTCTCACATAGAGGATGGGGTAGTTTCTACACTCACTAAGATAAACTATCTTAGTTTTACATTGATATTCAAATCTGAACAAGAAGAGGTATGTGATTGTTTTGACGCTTTCTTTTGCTCATATTGCTTGTTGCTTCTCTCCTTTTCTTCTCTTCTCAGGTCTTGATATTTATAGCCCTTGTGATAAATCTGTCCGTTGTTTGAATTTGAATGTGTCTGTTGAGGCGGAGCTTTTCGTTGGTGTAGATAATCATTTGTCCATGGCTACACAGATCTTTTTCATTTAATGTGTTTGGTCTTGCATTAAATGCTTGCTTGATGAATCTATGTTACGTGAAGCCCTTTGCGTAATTTGTTCCCTTTTATTTCTGACTTCAATCATGACCTAGGTATGTTTGTCCTTTTTTCGTCATTATAGCTGCGGAGGCGTTGCCTTTTTCTGAAAAGTAGATGTACTTGCCCTGACACACGCAACATTGACTTGTGAATTCGCACTCTTTGATTTTTCTTCTTTCTTTTCATATCTTTGATAACTCTGTGTGCTTTTCTTATGAATGGAGATGATATATGATCTTCTTCGTTGTGACTAGTGGACTTTAGACGTTTTTCAACATGCTTCGTTTGCGTCTGGAAATTTGAGTCTCCGTCTAAGAGTTAGACTTCAATTTTTTTTCATCTCGACTGATCAGTCGTGAAGGTGAATGACTTTTATTCCGTTTGGAATATTTCTTCGTCTTGTGTTATCCAACGACTGATGTTTGTTTTGTTAACCTTTTTGTCGTTGACCATTAAGCTTCATCTGATGTTTATTTGGTGCTGAGTCAACTTTGTCTTAGTCTAGTTTTGCTCTTATTTATGGTTTCTTATGTTGCGCTCTAGGTTGTCCTTGACATATCTTCGTTTGATATCCGTTATCGTCTGGTGCACAATTCATGATTCTTCTTTCATTTGGCTTGATTTGTCTGATCCTTGTTTCTTCATGCTTTAGTTTTACCTGTTCTTATATATATCTGAAACACTACTACACAGGTTAGTAATAACAGTATGTATTATATTTGTCATATTCAAAACCTCGCCGGGAATTGTTTTGTCTGACTTAACATTAACTACCCTCTAAGAAAAACTTTGCACTCAGAAATGAGAAGAAATTATAAAGGGAACTTCCAAAACTCTAAGAGTTCTTCCCTTTTCTATCTCTTTATACTTTCTAAAGAAATGAACTTCTGACGCTCATTTATAAAGAAAAGCCTTATGTATCTTTCATCCATATGCGCAACTTGATATTTCCTCATATATATAGGCTAAACCATCTAATTTATAAGGAAGTATTAGATTCTAGAGTTCCTCAACACTATTCAACAACCCAACACAATAATATATAATAAATTAAATCAATGACATCACTTTACAAATTCTGTTGTTACAATAAGTATAAAGATTAAAAATATATGACTAAAATCTTAACTCCAACTTTATTTTGCCTATGTGTGAGTTATAACATAAAAATTGTAATAATATTTAATAATTTTTTTATTTCATAAGTATAATATTAATAAAAAAAATTTAATTATACTATATTAATAACATACAATTTTATATTATTAATTGGTCACAAATATATA